GATGTTCCTCCGTTTGTAAGAACTATTGTGGTATTTGGGGAGAAGATGTGGACGAGGAGAGGTGTCACTCATGCTGTCGGACCAAACTTTGCAATGTGGGTAACGGAGGAATAAAACTGCAAAGACTGTCATATACTTTCCTTTTAATATCATTGACTGTTTTATATATTTTATAATGGGGATAAGATGTCTTTATATTGCCAATAGACTCTTTTGAATTCTCTCTGACCATTATACATACAAAGTCTACATTGCACAATGGAGGGGGTGGGGGTCTTTCCAAACTGCCAACTGACTTCTTGGCTTTAACACAGGACACTGTGTAGTATACTGAATATACGGGTTGCTAACCCTTTCAACATGCATTACGTATTATCATTCCATGTCTTTGTACAACCATTTGGTAGTGTATACGCATAATCTGTGCTTTACAGTGGTGTGTGGAGAAAATGAAGTCTATCTAAATGTATAATTGAAAGAGCGGGGCAAATTGTTTTCGTGCTGTTTGTTGTCCATAGCTATTGCACAATAAGAGGGAGGCCTATCATTTTTGGCATGTGTGTTCCTTGTGACAAGACCTTTCGGTGGTACCAAAATTTTAACCATGTGACCTAGACGTGACCTTTCACTTACATTTGAAAACTTTTAACACTGGCCATAATCATCAAAAGAGGCATAGTTTTCATATTTGGCATGTATGTTCCTTTGTGGCATGAACTTTCTACTGGTACCAAATGTTTTGACCATTTAACCTTGACCATGACTTTTGACCTACATATGATCATTAAAAACATCATTACCACAATGCAGACAGTAGTGTTTCACAAAGCGTGCATGCAATTACAGAGTACAATTTTAATGTCTTACTTAAGAATTTTGCTGCAACCAGGGAGCATGGTGTTTCATAAACACATCTTGTTAACATTGTTTTATCATGTAGATCTATACACTGTAATATGTAGAGAAGGTAAACCAGCGTTTATATACATTATTGATTATGCACAACTTAAGGTGTATTGTTTAGTTTAAGATATTCTATTTAACGTATTCATTCAGCAATATATCACATTCGCTGTAAGACAATGTTGTGAGGGTATCTTATATTTTTGAGGGAATATGTTACAGCTAACATACTTCAGATTTGTGTGATGAAAAAAATCCGAACATTCTTCTTTTACTAAATCATGGCATATGAAACGTTATTTATTGTTATAAAAACTTCAGCGACTGTATTCTGCTCCCTTTACTTTTTGTAAACAAACTCTGTATCAAACTTCGCTGTAATTAATGTAATTATCCTGGAAACATGTCACAGACAACGAAGTTATTTAATAAACGTCTAAATGTAACTGTATTTTTATTGTTTCTTTTTTCTAATGGTGACAGATTGCAGACGCAAACATGTCATACATGCAGTTGTAATTGGTTGTGCTAAATGACAGATAGCAACACTGTTTACAAGTTAATTGGGGGCCATGCATATGACCATAACATTGCTGAAGTATGTCTAATTATATCCAATCAAATTACAAATTTCGAAAGCAGACATCTACAATATATGCATGTGTTGATGAGAAAATAACATTCCTATGTTATATTCTGAGAGAGCAATTAAACTTGTAGCACGCATTAATGACGAGTTCACTTTAGAGTTTTTAGTAACCACCCAGTCGGTGCCATTATATCGGTAACGTCTAGAACACGATAGACACATGTAACAAACATGCTTAGACACATGGACGTGTACAGAAATTAGTATAGGTGTGATGTGGCCGTACCTATTATGTCAGATCGAATGGTTACACCATACACTCGATACACTCCAATCATTGTGTTATCATTAAATAACCATAGCAACATAATCCGTCCTAATCTCAGCAGACACGATCGATGCGCCATGGCAACCTATGTACGATGAATGTTTCATAACTTGAACCAAAAATATTGCATGACACAATCACTGAGTGTTGTCGGAAACCTTTCAACTTTGAAAAGGAAAGCGTTACTACGTCATTTTAAAACTGAGCTGTTTTAAATTGGTGTTCGATATTATCTGGCATTTTGAAGTTTTTTAATAAATGCTGCTCAATATATTGCGGTTAACAACTTCCTATTTGTAGTCTAAACATCGTCCATAGTGAAGACAATAGTCTCATTACAATGTTATTATACCGAGCATTCCAGCAGAGAGCTTCTAAAAACATTTCCTGACGGGTTCGGCGACACACTGATTCATATCAGGCTTTATCGTCAGTTAAAAAACAACAAAAACAAACAAAACAAAAAAGCAAAACCCAGCAAATATTGTGGCGAACATTTGAAATTAGGAACTCTTCTAATCTTTCAACGAAAGTTTTTACACTCGGAAATTAGATTTCCTGATCGACAGTATATATGTACTCATCTTGGTGATAGCACAGTAGACCATGACCGCTGATATGTTGACATCGATAAAACCAGTCACTAACAGTTATTGCTTTTTAAATTAAACGTTTTACCAGAGCAATTCTAATGGCGGTTTCTAGGTAAAACGATTCCAAATCGAAAGAGGTCTAATATCACAGACAATAAAAACAGTAGTGGGTATGCTCAAACGAAGACAGCGATTGGTTGATTGAATTTACCAATCAGTGCTTGTTGTCAGGAGCATTACAAAATCCTTTTATCATCTTGGAGTTGATGGAGGTTTTGAACATCTGTACGACCATGAAACTACATTTTAGCTGACAGCAATTTATTCTTTTTTCTGCTGAACGTCTGCACACCATAAGATATTTCTGAACACAAATAAATAACAGGGTTTACTGTCTGACAACAATGAACATGAAAGAGTTGTCTTATCACATAACGATAAGGTGAAGACACCAGTTTGTAATACAGCGGAGCTAACTAAAACTGTTTTTCAAAGTCACCTTTCAGATGTCATCTTATCCTCAAATAAGATAAACTTCTACCAGTAACACAACACCATATTGTGTAACACCATCATCCCCAACGACTCTAATTGGTTACTGTTGATTCCGACCTTGGGCTACTTTCACCTGTGTGTGTTCTTTTCTTGTTGTTCAAGATTGTCAATCAATCTAAACACATTAACATGACCACGTTTCTGGATTTGCAGTCGGCGCACATTAGTGATACACACTATCTGTAACAGGAATGGGAGCACGTGATGTCATAAGAATTAGAATTAATTGATAGTGAAATACGCACAGAAATGAACATCACCACCAACGATAATAGCATCCCTAGCACGTGCACGAACCGACCAATAATTGAATCTGACAGTAATTAGTCAAATATTCAGCTGTCAAAGCTGTGAGCTCGACCTCGCAGTGTCGTGTTCTTTCTCATCTTTGAAATTGAGCGGAGCGTCTATCAATAAAACACAAAACACTACGATTTTCATTTCTTTTTTTCAAATTATACAATTTTACAAATATGTTACATGAAATTCATTTTTTAAAAACTTCAAAATCATAACATAATCAAGTTCCCAAAAGTTGTTTGTCATATTTATCTAAATCTCGTTGTTTAATTTTCAGATTTAGAAAAGAATGCTCGCGAAAGTGCGTGTCTTAACAAAGTTTGATTAACTAACACGAGTTGGATAAACATGATAAACAACCACCAATCATTGGAGATGTTCGTAAATACTAATATCTCAAGAAGAAACATACTGCGCTTTCATCATCTGATAAGTATACATTGTTTTTTTTTAAAAATGCGAAATGACGACTGTATTTAAGGTATACGGGATTCCACATCTGTCATCCTTTTACATAATTTAGTATTATGTTGGTGCTAAAATCCTTTTCTTATTAATAAGTACCATTGTCACAAGCCACTGTAGTAATCTGACGTCATCCTTCCAGTAGTAAGTCGGCTAACTGCTGTTATACCTCTATACAACTGAAATAACTGCAATAGTAATGAGACATTGGGACTGAACGGTGCTTTGGTTGCATTCACAGCTGTATAAAGGCAATGGGATAGCTGAGCAATGATAAAAAGTTTTCAGCAGTGAAGCAGAAAAACAAATATTAAAATCATACTGGATTGTATGCCTATCTTAATCGTTAAACAAGATCCAAGTTTGAAAAATATAAAGCCTTTAGTTCAAAGGACGCTATCGAAAATGTTAATCAACAAATTCTAGATCAAACTAATGAAACCATGTCAATCTTAGTCAATGCATGTGAGGGGATAGGTTTACAATGAACAAAAGGGTGCTTGTGATCTTTACAGTTATCTCCCTTGGACCAGCCAAGCGTAGTGCTAAAGAGCATTGTGCTAAAAAGCTATCGCCAATGGGTCGCTCAAATGTCCATGTAACGGCAAAGGCACCATTTAGGCCTGGATTTTCTTCCTTATCCTGGGCTGTTTAGAGAGATGTCCAACTAACTCTGGCTTCTACAGCTGGATTTTGATGAATTTGAAGTGTATAGCAACAGATTGGCATCTTTAATAATCCATGTTATGTTTATGTTATCATGAACCAGGTGTATACAGCCGAAACTACCAGAATGAATACATATAACTCCATTACGGAAGGGGAAATAGATTAAATAATGTCGAAATTGTCACCAATGATTTCATCTAACTTTCATCCACCAGTTTCTTGAAATACTAGAAATGGAACAATCAATATACTCCCTTTGGACATACACCGAAGTGGAAAGCTATCCCAATTGTCTTCCATGCTGTAAAGTAATTAGTGTTCTCTATCCAAGAATATGTGAAATTTGTAACTGCTTCAACTAACCATTCCTTTTATCAATTATGATATGTAAGTTAGAGCACGTATTCACTGGAAAACCTTCATTTTGCATTGGCTCTTCTATTTGTATTCATCATATTCACCTTTCGAATGAGTTTTCTTGCAAACCTCATGTTCCCATACTTGATAAATTTTACAGGTTATCAAGTACAAATATCCAATGCTTTGTATACCACCTATAATGAACTAGGAGCTACGTTGTATTTCTAAAACTGAGGTTATGATTGGTACCTGTAAGGCTGAGGTTATGGTTGGTACCTGTAAGGCTGAGGTTATGGCTGGTACCTGTACGTCTGCGGTGATGGTTGGTACCTATAAGACTGATATTATGACTAGTACCTGTAAGACTGAGGTTATGAGTGGTACCTGTAATCCTGAGGTTATGGTTGGTACCTGTAAGGCTGGGGTTATGGCTGGTACCTGTAAGGCTGAGGTTATGGCTGGTACCTGTAAGGCTGAGGTTATGGCTGGTACCTGTAAGGCTGGGGTTATGATTGGTACCTGTAAGTCTGTGGTTATGGTTGGTACCTGTAAGGCTGAGGTTATGATTGGTACCTGTAAGGCTGAGGTTATGGCTGGTACCTGTAAGGCTGTGGTTATGGCTGGTAACTGTAAGTCTGAGGTTATGGTTGGTACCTGTAAGTCTGAGGTTATGGTTGGTACCTGTACGTCTGCGGTTATGGTTGGTACCTGTAAGTCTGAGGTTATGGGTGGTACCTGTAAGACTGGGGTTATGGTTGGTAACTGTAAGACTGGGGTTATGGTTGGTACCTGTAAAGCTAAGGTTATGGCTGGTAACTGTAAGGCTGTGGTTATGGCTGGTAACTGTAAGTCTGAGGTTATGGTTGGTACCTGTAAGGCTGTGGTTATGGCTGGTAACTGTAAGGCTGTGGTTATGGCTGGTAACTGTAAGTCTGAGGTTATGGTTGGTACCTGTAAGGCTGTGGTTATGGCTGGTAACTGTAAGGCTGTGGTTATGGCTGGTAACTGTAAGTCTGAGGTTATGGTTGGTACCTGTAAGACTGAGGTTATGGCTGGTACCTGTAAGTCTGAGGTTATGGTTGGTACCTGTAAGGCTGAGGTTATGGTTGGTACCTGTAAGACTGGGGTTATGGTTGGTATGGTTGGTACCTGTAAGTCTGAGGTTATGGTTGGTACCTGTAAGGCTGTGGTTATGGCTGGTACCTGTTAGTCTGAGGTTATGGTTGGTACCTGTACGTTTGCGGTTGTGGTTGGTACCTGTAAGGCTGAGGTTATGGTTGGTACCTGTAAGGCTGAGGTTATGGTTGGTACCTGTAAGGCTGTGGTTATGGCTGGTACCTGTAAGGCTATGGTTATGGTTGGTACCTGTAAGTCTGAGGTTATGGGTGGTACATGTAAGGCTGAGGTTATGGCTGGTACCTGTAAATCTGTGGTTATGGTTGGTACATGTAAGGCTGAGGTTATGGTTGGTACCTGTAATTCTTAGGTTATGGCTGGTACCTGTAAGTCTGCGGTTATGATTGGTACCTGTAAGTCTGAGGTTATGGTTGGTACCTGTAAGGCTGAAGTTATGGTTGGTACCTGTAAGGCTGTGGTTATGGCTGGTACCTGTAAGGCTGTGGTTATGGCTGGTACATGTACGTTTGCGGTTCTGGTTGGTACCTGTAAGGCTGAGGTTATGGCTGGTACCTGTAAGTCTGCGGTTATGGTTGGTACCTGTAAGGCTGAGGTTATGGTTGGTACCTGTAAGTCTGAGGTTATGGTTGGTACCTGTAAAGCTAAGGTTATGGTTGGTACCTGTACGTTTGCGGTTGTGGTTGGTACCTGTAAGGCTGAGGTTATGGTTGGTACCTGTAAGGCTGAGGTTATGGTTGGTACCTGTAAGGCTGTGGTTATGGCTGGTACCTGTAAGGCTATGGTTATGGCTGGTACCTGTAAGTCTGAGGTTATGGTTGGTACCTGTAAGTCTGAGGTTATGGGTGGTACATGTAAGGCTGAGGTTATGGCTGGTACCTGTAAATCTGTGGTTATGATTGGTACCTGTAAGGCTGAGGTTATGGCTGGTACCTGTAAGGCTGAGGTTATGGCTGGTACCTGTAAGGCTGGGGTTATGATTGGTACCTGTAAGTCTGTGGTTATGGTTGGTACCTGTAAGGCTGAGGTTATGGTTGGTACCTGTAAGGCTGGGGTTATGATTGGTACCTGTAAGTCTGTGGTTATGGTTGGTACCTGTAAGGCTGAGGTTATGATTGGTACCTTTAAGGCTGAGGTTATGGCTGGTACCTGTAAGGCTGTGGTTATGGCTGGTAACTGTAAGTCTGAGGTTATGGTTGGTACCTGTAAGTCTGAGGTTATGGTTGGTACCTGTACGTCTGCGGTTATGGTTGGTACCTGTAAGTCTGAGGTTATGGGTGGTACCTGTAAGACTGGGGTTATGGTTGGTAACTGTAAGACTGGGGTTATGGTTGGTACCTGTAAAGCTAAGGTTATGGCTGGTAACTGTAAGGCTGTGGTTATGGCTGGTAACTGTAAGTCTGAGGTTATGGTTGGTACCTGTAAGGCTGTGGTTATGGCTGGTAACTGTAAGGCTGTGGTTATGGCTGGTAACTGTAAGTCTGAGGTTATGGTTGGTACCTGTAAGGCTGTGGTTATGGCTGGTAACTGTAAGGCTGTGGTTATGGCTGGTAACTGTAAGTCTGAGGTTATGGTTGGTACCTGTAAGACTGAGGTTATGGCTGGTACCTGTAAGTCTGAGGTTATGGTTGGTACCTGTAAGGCTGAGGTTATGGTTGGTACCTGTAAGACTGGGGTTATGGTTGGTATGGTTGGTACCTGTAAGTCTGAGGTTATGGTTGGTACCTGTAAGGCTGTGGTTATGGCTGGTACCTGTTAGTCTGAGGTTATGGTTGGTACCTGTACGTTTGCGGTTGTGGTTGGTACCTGTAAGGCTGAGGTTATGGTTGGTACCTGTAAGGCTGAGGTTATGGTTGGTACCTGTAAGGCTGTGGTTATGGCTGGTACCTGTAAGGCTATGGTTATGGTTGGTACCTGTAAGTCTGAGGTTATGGGTGGTACATGTAAGGCTGAGGTTATGGCTGGTACCTGTAAATCTGTGGTTATGGTTGGTACATGTAAGGCTGAGGTTATGGTTGGTACCTGTAATTCTTAGGTTATGGCTGGTACCTGTAAGTCTGCGGTTATGATTGGTACCTGTAAGTCTGAGGTTATGGTTGGTACCTGTAAGGCTGAAGTTATGGTTGGTACCTGTAAGGCTGTGGTTATGGCTGGTACCTGTAAGGCTGTGGTTATGGCTGGTACATGTACGTTTGCGGTTCTGGTTGGTACCTGTAAGGCTGAGGTTATGGCTGGTACCTGTAAGTCTGCGGTTATGGTTGGTACCTGTAAGGCTGAGGTTATGGTTGGTACCTGTAAGTCTGAGGTTATGGTTGGTACCTGTAAAGCTAAGGTTATGGTTGGTACCTGTACGTTTGCGGTTGTGGTTGGTACCTGTAAGGCTGAGGTTATGGTTGGTACCTGTAAGGCTGAGGTTATGGTTGGTACCTGTAAGGCTGTGGTTATGGCTGGTACCTGTAAGGCTATGGTTATGGCTGGTACCTGTAAGTCTGAGGTTATGGTTGGTACCTGTAAGTCTGAGGTTATGGGTGGTACATGTAAGGCTGAGGTTATGGCTGGTACCTGTAAATCTGTGGTTATGATTGGTACCTGTAAGGCTGAGGTTATGGCTGGTACCTGTAAGTCTGAGGTTATGATTGGTACCTGTAAGTCTGAGGTTATGGTTGGTACCTGTAAGACTGGGGTTATGGTTGGTACCTGTAAGACTGGGGTTATGGTTGGTACCTGTAATTCTTAGGTTATGGTTGGTACCTGTAAGGCTGTGGTTATGGCTGGTACCTGTAAGTCTGAGGTTATGGTTGGTACCTGTAAGGCTGAGGTTATGACGGTCCGATATAGGTTATAGAATTACGCGTATCTATGACTACTGCAGCATCACGTATAGACGGAAGCTAGTATGTGTGATCTGGGCTAATACTGACCACGTTTATTTACTACTTACCCACCAACACATTATCAGCGGAACTTTCTTGGAAAATCAATTTGCTTTTTGGTTTATGATAATTCTATTACGATGGCACACGGATTGCACCATACATATATCACACATTCTTGACAATTACGATATCAAGACCGCTCTATCATACATCATCTCTGTAACAGACATTTTAAAACACCATTGGATACGCAGAATGAACGTGCTAGGAAGATCAATGGACATTGCTGTTTGTGTCCGCTCTGTCACCTGCCTGATCGTTTGGATATCAGGTATGTATGTCTGATACTTTACTGTCTGTATAATCACTGAGTCATTATTGACAGGTTAAGTCTTTCGTGAATTTTTATGATATCTGTAGTTGTTAAGGCATTGATGACATTCATTGATAGTATACCTAGTTGTTTCAGAAGCATGTGAACAGAAAACGAGAAGTAAATAAGATAGTGTGTTAACCTTTGATCCGTATCGAAAACGATAATTGGCGTGTTATATGTTAATTGAAAATTTATTTGATTATTTCAAGTAAGGAAAATAACATGATTGTGTTAAAAACTCATAATATTTTTTCTCAAAAGCCGAATTCAAACAATTATTAATATTCAGTAGCATTTTATAAGACAAGAGTCTGTAGAAACCCGATCTAAGCTTGTCATTTTGTATGTTCTTTGGTCTAAACTATACCACTTCCGTCAATGTTACGGCTCAAGTAATCAATGTCTTCGTGTCTTTGCCGTCAGAGCGATTTCACATCATGCACTCACAGTCACATCCTCCGGCAAAAGCATCGCACTAATGTAAATACAGACGTAATTATATAGGATCATATAAATATAGAGCAAGCAGAAAATTTCAATAGAATTATTGAAATATTCCTTACTATATGTCCGTTTGAAATTTCTTGTGGCCTTTGGTAACACTAGAAAACATAATTCATGGATAGATAAATTAATATTTGATGGTGATTATGAATTATCTGTTAAAATGTAAAAGGTCGATGCTGACAGCTTTGGAAACATCTATGTGTGTAAAATTTGACGACTTTACTAGGTGTGTAAACATCAATGACATTACTGACAGATGTGTAGACATTGATGATATTACCGGGTGTGTAGATATTGATGATATTACCAGGTGTGTAGATATTGATGATATTACCGGGTGTGTAGATATTGATGATATTACCGGGTGTGTAGATATTGATGATATTACCGGGTGTGTAGATATTGATGATATTACCAGGTGTGTAGATATTGATGATATTACCAGGTGTGTAGATATTGATGATATTACCGGGTGTGTAGATATTGATGATATTACCGGGTGTGTAGACATTGATGATATTACCAGGTGTGTAGACATTGATGATATTACCGGGTGTGTAGATATTGATGATATTACCGGGTGTGTAGATATTGATGATATTACCGGGTGTGTAGATATTGATGGTATTACCGAGTGTGTAGATATTGATGATATTACCGGGTATGTAGACATTGATGATATTACCGGGTATGTAGACATTGATGATATTACCTGGTGTGTAGATATTGATGGTATTACCGAGTGTGTAGATATTGATGATATAACCGGGTGTGTAGACATTGATGATATTACCTGGTGTGTAGACATTGATGATATTACCTGGTGTGTAGACATTGATTATATTACCTGGTGTGTAGACATTGATGATATTACCTGGTGTGTAGATAGTGATGATATTACCGGGTATGTAGACAGTGATGATATTACCGGGTATGTAGACATTGATGATATTACCGGGTGTGTAGATATTGATGATATTACCGGGTGTGTAGATATTGATGATATTACCGGGTGTGTAGATATTGATGATATTACCTGGTGTGTAGATATTGATGATATTACCGGATGTGTAGATATTGTGATATTACCGGGTGTGTAGATATTGATGATATTACCGGGTGTGTAGATATTGATGATATTACCGAGTGTGTAGATATTGATGATATTACCGGGTGTGTAGATATTGATGATATTACCGGGTGTGTAGATATTGATGATATAACCGGGTGTGTAGATATTGATGATATTACCGGGTGTGTAGACATTGATGATATTACCGGGTGTGTAGATATTGATGATATTACCGGGTGTGTAGACATTGATGATATCACTAGATATTTTATTTTGTTGCCGTCACTAAATGTATTGATTTTGACTTTAGATGTGATGCTAATTACTGTGCGTATAAACATTGACGTTTTTACTAGGGTGTAAACATTGATGACATTACTAGAGTGTAAACATTGACGACATAACTAGAGTGTAAACATTGATGACATAACTAGAGTGTAAACATTGATGACATTACTAGGGTGTAAACATTGATGACATAACTAGTGTAAACATTGATGACATAACTAGAGTGTAAACATTGATGACATAACGAGAGTGTAAACATTGACGACATTACTAGGGTGTAAACATTGATGACATAACTAGAGTGTAAACATTGACGACATTACTAGGGTGTAAACATTGATGACATTACTAGGGTGTAAACATTGATGACATTACTATGGTGTAGACTTTGATGATATTACTAGGGTGTAAACATTGATGACATAACTAGGGTGTAAACATTGATGACATAACTAGAGTGTAAACATTGATGACATAACTAGAGTGTAGACATTGACGACATTACTAGGGTGTAAACATTGATGACATTACTATGGTGTAGACTTTGATGATATTACTAGGGTGTAAACATTGATGACACTACTAGGGTGTAAACATTGATGACATAACTAGAGTGTAAACATTGATGACATTACTATGGTGTAGACTTTGATGACATTACTAGGGTGTAAACATTGACGACATTACTAGGGTGTAAACATTGATGACATTACTATGGTGTAGACTTTGATGATATTACTAGGGTGTAAACATTGATGACATAACTAGTGTAAACATTGATGACATAACTAGAGTGTAAACATTGATGACATTACTATGGTGTAGACTTTGATGATATTACTAGGGTGTAAACATTGATGACATTACTATGGTGTAGACTTTGATGACATTACTAGGGTGTAAACATTGATGACATTACTATGGTGTAGACTTTGATGACATTACTAGGGTGTAAACATTGATGACATTACTATGGTGTAGACTTTGATGACATTACTAGGGTGTAAACATTGATGACATTACTATGGTGTAGACTTTGATGACATTAGTTATTAGTTATTGGTTCAACAATAAGGACAAACATTTTGTTTATAAAAATACTAACTGCAACAAAAAAAAGAAATTTTGGTAGTGTAATTTTTACTTTAAAGTATCCTTACATGTTATAAACCACCAAATGAAAGTTGATAATATATCTACACATTTCACCAGATATCACCAGACGAAACGAATTTAAGACTGAATAAGTCAGAAAGTATTGAGTACTATATCAATAGCATCATTCTAGTCACTTAAAGCTTTCTAACTGTTTTTTGGATATACTAAATCTATTTTTCACAGGTAGCTTGATGATAAGAACGGTTGTCTCTGCTGAACTAACGATCGATCCAGCAATACGTGCCGAACTGTTGCACTGTTGGACATGTAACCAGACTGACAATTGTCGTGACATGTATTACCTCTCCGGAGTGACCACCCAAGTCTGTCGACTGGACCAAGCTTTCTGTGCCGTGAGTATCGACTATTTCCAACAAAATAAACTAGATTTTTTCATATATTGTTTCCCTTATCAACCGGTCACATTCCTTTATACTAATTCCTACAGTCTCAACTTAATACTTTCTATAATCTTCTATATA